GAGTACCGACTTCTCTACTCACTTTTCGGGTTTGCTTTCCCTTCACGCAGACAACACATGGTTCAGAACATTCTTTGCCAAAATTTATGCCAACATTTGCGCTCTTGACATCACCCAGTTTCGCATTACAGATATGCCCCATCCTTCGGTGCCACAAATTGAAATCATTGGCCATGGTAAAAGCTTTACCCTTTTCCTCTTTCGAATTGCATTCTAACCGGTACAATTGATTCTGCGCAGTTGCCGTTGCTATAACACGTCCATTTTTATCAGAAATGCGGCATTTTTCACCTTCAAAAGTCACCCTTTTTCCATTCTTAGCCATTTGTCGAACGGAGAGTAAGTTGGTACACAAATCTGGAACATACTCCACGTCTTTGATTGTAACACATCTCTTATTTTTTCCAGAGCCAACTTCAATATCAACATATCCAATGGAGTCCACTACGAGTTCATGCTTATTCGCAATAATCACCTTTTTATTAAAAACATCACGGATGTTGTACATGTGGTTCTTCTCATTCGTCATGTGGTTGCTTGCTCCACTATCAACGTACCAGGCATTTAAACAATCTGAACTTGAAGTGGATTCCGTAGCTTTTGCACACGCGCTCACATCGGTAGTTGTAGCAAATAAAACATCCGACTTCTTTTCATGCTTCCTTGTAGCTCCATTGTCATTTGGCTTCAATTTGCTGGGACAATTTCTTGAGATGTGTCCAAGTCCACTGCAATTGTAGCATTTGATTTGCTTCTTACCTTTCTTGATACCTTTAGATTGTAACGCCGATTCTTTTTCTGGAGCTCGATCGAATTTCGCATCTTGAAGTAGAACATTCTTCACCTTATCCACCGTCAATTTCTCCTTGGTATTTTCCACGGCCATCACAAGCGGTTTAAAGTCATCCGTTAATCCAGCTAACATTAGAGATGCAGTCAACTCATCGTCAATGTTTAAGCCAGCATTTTTCACTTTAATAGCCACTATAACGATGTCATTGACGTATTCCTGAATGGATCCATAGTTCTGTAGCTTGATGTTCACAAATTGCTTCAGCAATTCAACTTTTCTGGTAAGGCCCGTATCTTCGTACGCATTCATCAATGCACTCCAGGCATTTTTCGCGGTAGTTGAAGTTGCAATGTGGCCGTAATTGTCTGGTTCAATCATCAATGTTATCTCGGCTAAAGCTCTCGCATTCAATTCAGCATCAGCGGTATTATCAACACATGCCTTCCAGCACCCTTTAATGACCAGATATGATTGCGCTTGCCTCTTCCAAACATCAAAGTTTTCGCGTCCACGCAATCTTTCTAGCGGAAAAGCTATGTTATTACCAGCCATTTTAATTTTTTTTCACAAACGTCACTAGTTTTCAATATTAAAAAATGTATCTATTTTGTTTTGCCGAATATTTTTTTCAAACGTGACTAAGGCCCATAACCTGTTATAATTGAATTCGTTTATTGAACTGAAAAAAATTGAGAATACATATTTGACAACAAACATATTGATATCAAAGCCTATTAAGATTATGTTAATAATATTGGACAAAGTGTTTTATGCTAAAGTACAATATTTGATTCAATTCTCAACACTTTTTAGGCTTTGTTTGTATTTGTTTACATTCACATTTTATTTTTCAGCTGACCTCATATAGCTTTCTACTAAAAAAATTGTATGTGGTTGTTTGTTTTAAATTGTTGTAGAACAACGCATGATGTTATCTTATATTTTTATAATGTGATAAAAGCAACAAATGAATTGCTTACAAATATAGACTTTCCGCAAATTAATTTTTAACCCAAAGTAAATTGGGACTAATGGGGAGATACATAGGAAAACTTTTTTACTGGCTTAAGTATTCGTAATAGAACAAAGGAGTTTTAGGTTGACATAAGCTGAGAATTAATAAAAAATGTTTTTTTGGTTGGCTTAAGTCACCGGCTTGCTTCTCTGTAAAAGAACAAATGAGTTTTAGGTTGACTTAGTTCAATTTCGGCCCGTAATGTATACTTGTTCATCCTACACTCTTTTGTTCTTTAGCAAAGAAGCCATCCAAAAAGTAATTTATGTATTCTCGGCTTTAGTTCAATATCGGTAATTTATACTTTTCTTGTCCCAAATTTATACTTCTATGTCTTCGGCACATGCAAAGAGCATCTGCACATAGTAGATTTAAAATAGGAAAAGTCAGAGTCAAAACATTGTCACCCGGGGGATTTGCCTTTGTTGTTACGATCATATTATCATATGAATTCATGATGGTAGAAGAATACAGGTAGATGCATGGTACAATGAAGAGAAGGTAGGTCAACTTTGAAAAAATTGCAAGTATAGAGGTCTACCTGTTTGGCTTGTAATGTCAGAATTACTATCAAAACAATAAAAAAGCAAACAACTTGTTGGATTGATTTTGAATAAATAATTTAAAACCGCGAAAACTGAATGAATAGTCAAATTTTCTTTTCAATATCATGTTCTATATATCTCTTATGGTTTATTTCGCGACAAAAACTGTAGATTTTGTCGATGCATTCGTTGCAATAAGCATTTTGAAAACACCCAAATTTGAATATTTTCTGAACAATTTTTTATTATTGAAAAGAAAACACACACATAAGCAAATGAAGTTGACATGTTAAGCCAGAAAAATAAAAAAATTGAAATCATATGGTAGTTCTGCCCTACCTTGAATTCATTGTACCATGGGTAGATGCATCTAAGCTTGGGAACATTGATATGTCAAAAAAAATTAAATGTTTTTTCAAATATAAGTAGATTTATATATGTTTTCTTATACGACGTCATTCGGAGGTTATTATAATTCGCCTATATTCTTCTACCATGGAATACATAAAGCGCTTATTTGGCTGGCTTTAGGCATCAGCTGGCTTCTTCGTAGAAGAAAGGAATTTTAGGTTTACTTAGTTCCATTTTGGCCCTAGGCCCCTTTGTTTCATTTCCGAGGGAGCCAGTCGATGACTTAAGCCAGCCAAATAAGCGCTTTATGTATTCCCACCTTAACTTTCATACTTTACTTGTGTGGAAAAAAACGTCGACCGAGTACGTAGAATTTTAGGTAACACTGTAAAGATATACGGTCGTTAATATCAATTTACCATGGCCCCTGTCCACACACAAACGAGTAATTTAATGAAATAAATAACATTTATGATTTTAAGGTATATCCATGGTACAATAAGGAGGTAGAACAGCTTCGTAAAAGTATAGAAATACATCCCTGGGGCTATGAACGCTTTCTGTCAGAATTATTGAAAAGTAGATGTAACAGACTAATTTATTTAATATTTTTCATTATCTAGAATATAGGTTAAAAAACGCGAAAGATGAAAGAAATGCCTGGATTTTCTTTAAGAATATGATCCGAATTGATCAACCTTCCAATTCCATGGCAGAAATGGTTATTACTTTTAATGTACGTTTCTTCCAATCATTGATGTTGAACATATTTGTTTTTGTTTTTCAAAAAAATAAATGCTTAACAAAATTGGCAGAAGGTAAGCTCGATTAGAAAAAAATGTAATCAGCTGGTAGCTCTACCTTACCTCTTTATTGTACAATATTTATTTCATGAAATTACACGTGTTTGGAACGTGCCTAATCGGGGGGAAGTGAAGGTTGCTTTTTTTACGCCACGCCAAATATTAGGTTCACATGGTCATGCACTGTAAGCTGTCATGTTATCACTTTGATGTGCATACCATATGACATTAGAAAAATTTTCAAGCGGCAACTTTTCAGTCGCGTATCAACCTTTGTTGACACTAGACTTTTTCGCGCTGGTCGCTTTTTTTTTACAAACAAACACAACAACAACAAATCAACACAAAATCAAAACACAAACAAACCTCCATTTTTTTCTTTTATCTTGGTTAAAAACAATTTTTGCGAAATTTTTGCCAAGTTTTTTATTTAAACAATTATGGAGGGAGTCGGAGACCCCCCTCCTCCACCTGTTCCCCCGCCACCTATTGGGGATACCAATAAAAGAAGAGCCAAAAACATTGAAAACGATAATAAAAGTTTTAAAAACAATAATGGCCAACCAATAAAAAACACCAACACCAATAAAATAATTTCATCCCAAACCTCGGACAAAATGGACACCGAATACAATTACAATTCGCTAAATGATGGAAATGTACTGTATACACCAAACCATCCAGGGCCATTTTATGTCATAGTGTCGTCAGAAACGCCAATCAGCTCAAGGAGAAAAAACTGCGAACTCCATTTGTATATACGTCTAAAGCAAATCAATCTCACTAACTATGCTTGCAAGTGTGTGGGATATAACACTTTTAGAATGACGTTCAACAATTTTGAATCTGCCAACTTATTTGCCACAAATCCCAATTTAAAAACTGTTGGATTAAAGGCATACATCCCAGAGAGATTTGTTCAACGTTTTTATATTATCAAAAATGTACCTACGTGCCTTTCCGCAAATATTATAAAGGAAGAAATTATGCAAAACAATGAATGTATGGAAGTAGTCTCAATTTATCGCTTTACTAGGAAAAATGATCCTGGTTTAATCGTACCCACAGAAACTATAAAGATTGGTATTATTTTTGATGGAATTCCTACGAAATATATATGTGTGGAACAAAAATAACACCGGACTTATATGTACCACCTGTTCGGCTGTGTTTAAACTGCGGCCGTTTAGGCCACATTGCTCTTCGTTGCAGGTCGACGAAGAAGTGTCTAAGCTGTGGAAAAGAAATTCTATGTGCAACAAATTGCAGTAAGGAAAATAGATGTTTAGATTGTCGTTCTACAACAACCTGTAAAGAACTATGCATGTCTCCAAGATGCATACTTTGCAACAAAATAGATCATCTTGCAACAGATTCCAAAAATTGTTTGAAGTGGAAGTCTGAAAGAAATATTAGCAGCATTATGGCCCTAACAAACCTATCTAGAAGGGAGATTCTCCAAAATTACCCAGAAACAAGAAATCGTTTCCAAATTCTTTCTGAACGTGATTTTAATAATGAGTTCCCGCCTCTCTTAACAAACAGGACTCCAAAAATTAATATACATGATGCAATTAACAAAAAAATTACAAGTATTAAATATAGCAAAGTTGCGGCTCCAATAACGAAAAATCAACATGCCATTGCAAGCCCAATTCATGTAAATCCAACCAAAGCAGTATTTGATCATCAAAATTTTTCTAAAGTTACTGAAATAGAAAGAGCATTAGCATCATTTTCAAGGCAAATGTCCACAATACTTACGTCTCTTAACTGCACAGAAGGTCTTGATGTTTTAAAGAAATTTCAACAAATAGTCATTCCAGCATCAGCGAACAACCAAAGCCCATATACATCAGAAGCCAATGAAGAAAGCCAATTAGTATCATCCTGAAAAAGATGAAGTGTGATCAATCTGAAATAACTGCAAATAAATAATAAAATTTTTTTTTCAATTATCCATGAACATCTTACAATACAATATACAAAGTCTTAAAAAAAACAAAAACTCTCTGGACTTCCATTTAAGAAAACTTAACATCGATATATGCTTCCTGAGTGAAATTTTCAATATAGATGAAAAACAAAATTCAACAACTTTTCAAAATTATAATATAGTTTCAAAAAAGAGAAAAGATAATTATGGTGGCGTCGCGATAATTTTAAAGAAAAATATTCAGTTTAAAAGAATCTCTTTTCAATCAACACTTGACATACTAATTTGTCAAACCACTAATTTAAACAATAATCTCACTTTAGTTGCTGTCTATTTTCCACATTCCGTAAAAAGCATAACCATTAAAAATGAACTTGAAAAAATAACATCCTTCCTCAACTCTAATCCAAATACATTTATCTGTGGCGATTTTAATGCTAGACATTCGGCCTTTGGTGATTTTTTTGATTCGCAACGTGGAAAAATGCTTAAAGAATTTTTTGACTATTCAAACTTTCGATGTTTAAATGATGGAAGTTACACTTTTAAAAAACGAATCAATGACAATACGGGATCTGTTTTAGATCTATCATTTACCAACTCAACTCTGTCACTATCTTGGAAAGTTCAAAAAACAATAATTGGAGGAAGTCACCATCTCCCAATAATTCTGAAATTGAGCGATACTATTTGCAACGGCAAAAAGTTCTTAGCGAAAAAAAGGCTTATAAGAAATCTTGCAATATTAAAATTAAATCCGGACTTCGAGGAAATCAACTTCGCCATGCAAGCTGAAATCAAAAAAGCTACGTATGTTATTGATAACAAAAGAAATCCAAAACCTTGGTGGGACCCTTTTGTCGAAAAACAATTCAGATTGCAAGTTGCCGCGCAAAAGAAATATGATTTGCATAGCAACGACACTAATGCTCTTAATCTTTTCCAAGCCATTAAAAATTTTAAAAACGCCACAAAATATGCAAAACGACAATCTTTTAAATCAAAAATTACAACTTTAAATATGGAGCCTAACTCAAAATCACTATTTCGTCTGGTAAAAGGATGTAAGAACAGTTTGTCATGCAATAACGGTGGGAAATGGTCCGAAAATAACAACAAAAAATTTTTAATACACCTAAGGGATCAAGTCTTGAACAACAGCCATATTACCTTCCCTCCAAACACGCAAAGAACACCCGTCGAACTCACAATGGAAGAATTCTCATCTGTCTTAAACAGAAAGAAAAAACCTTCAGCAGCAGGATTAGATGGCATAACATATGAGAAGATAAATAACTTATCAGAATCATCTAAATATAATCTTTTTCAAGCAATGAATACAGCTTGGAAAAAATGTGAACTAAGAGAAAACTGGCGAAAAATCAAAATTGTTCCAATCCCAAAGAAAGGAAAAGATCTGGAAATATTCACAAATTTTCGACCAATATCATTAATATCAGTTTTTCTCAAAATTATAAACCTTATGATCAAAGAAAGATTACAGTCATTTCTTCAGGAACAAGATATTCTTCCGACCAACACATACGCATACAGGAAAAACTTCTCTTCATCCATGTGTATCAATCATTTACTATACACAATAAATTATCATAAGGAAAAAGGAGAAAAAGTAATTCTACTGTCTATAGATATTGAAAAGGCCTATGATTGCGTAAATCTATTAATTCTTTATAAAATTTTGTCCGAGATAAACTGCCCGGAGGATATCAAAGATTGGACAATAAACTTTCTTAAAAAACGCACAATTGTTATGGGCAATGAAATGATAGATATATATAATGGATTACCGCAAGGCAGCTGCTTAAGTCCAATACTTTTTAATATATATACGCTTGGTCTGCATGGAATTGCAGATCAAAACACATATTTATTTCAATTTGCGGATGATTTTATTTTACTATCCACTGACAAGGAATTTGAAATGGCAAATGAAAATCTACAACATAAAGCGAATCATTTTTACCATATTTTATCCCGCTTGAATCTTAAACACAACCCTGATAAAACCTTCGTCATGTATGTAGCAAAAGGCCCCCGTAAAATCCCAAATATAAAGTTACAAAATACAAACATAAACTCTGTTGAAAAAATAAAATTTCTGGGAAGATATATTAAAAACAGTCTATCGCTAAAGGAACACTATGATGAAGTAATGAATTCCTGTACCAACTCACTAAACGCATTAAAAATGATAAACAACGCCAAAAACGGATTACTCCCAAACATATTAATAAATTTAACAAAATCCCTAGTGTTCTCTAAGACAGAATACGCAATATCATCTATGGCCCACATGCCACAATATCTCAACAAAAAGCTAACTAGCTTTCAAAATCAAATGCTTAGAAGAAGCCTTGGACTTACCCCTTCCACACCAATACACAACATCTATGCACTGGCTGTTATGCTTCCTCCTGAACAACGTTCTCAGTATCTTGCAGCTAAAGAACTAATAAAATTCAAAATGTATAACAATACGCTGTACAACTGCATCACCACAGATTCCTCTGTAAAAACAAGTCTGGGTTTTATCTACAACAAATTTAAACACATCCTTGACCGAACTATGGTAAATCAAAAAAGGATACATTCAAAGAAAATAAGCTTTTTAGATGATCTCTTTAAGGCAGTAAAATACTCCAAGTCCAATGAATTTTTTAGAGCAATTCTTCAAGAAAAACTAGTCTGTCTAAAAAACCAGGATCATTCCATATGGTCAACTGATGCATCAGTCACAGACAGTAGTACAGGTTGTGCGGTATGCAACATATCAATGAAACAAAATTATGCTTTCAGAATAACATCAAAAACCTCTTCTCTAATGGGAGAACTACATGCCATAAATAAAGCAATTGATATAATGATCGAGGAAAACACGCTCAAAGCAGTCATTCTTACGGACAGTAAAAATGCCTGTCTTACACTCAAGACAAACACACACCATAATTATCTAGCAAACGACATAATTCACAAAATAAACAATTCTAACTTACAATCTCTTACTTTCATATGGACTCCCTCGCATATTGGTATACCAGCAAACGAACTCGCAGATTATTTCGCCAAACACGCAGCCACAGCTGGCTGTATAATTACCACCAATGCTTCAATTACAGACGCATACTCTGCCATTTATGATCATCTATGGAAAGAATGGGTAGATAAGTACAAGGATGCATCCGAAACTAAGGGTACTTACTTTTCACAATTCTTCAACACACCACCAAAATCTTACTGGTTCACTGGCTCAAAGATGTCACCTGGTAATATAAAGCTAATAAATCGTTTACTCACTGGACACACTTACGGCAAAACATACTTACATCGCATTAAAGTCGAGGCCTCGGACATCTGCACACTTTGTGGAATCACTGAAAGTGAGGATCACCAAATTTTTGTGTGCCCAAAATTCTGTAACGAAAGGAAACAATTTAAAATCTTCGAAAGGTACAAGGACTTACCATCAATTTTAAAAACCTTCTCGCCAGAAAACTTCGTCGAACTATCAAACTTCATTCACAAATGCAATCTTCAACTCTGATTTTCTCTGTGAGATAACAGAAACATAAACAAAACAAAGAATACGATTATTAAGTAATCAATAACCTAGCAATTTGGCATATGTGTACTTCGGGTACCTGCCAACCATGACGAAGAAGGAGAAAGAGAATCAAAAAAAAAAAAAAAAAAAGCGGCAACTTTTCCCGCGTTTTCATTAACAAGAAAACTATTTTCATTAAGAGATTGATCGCATCATCAAAAATTTGACCAAAACAGCAGTGACAATTAATGCAGTGAAAAGGCATTGGCGTACAAAATCACAAAAAAAAAAAAATAATTCTTGACGCACTTTGGTTTAGAAAAACAAAACAAATTTTGGGCCCTACTGTAATTACGAATTTTATTTACACCATTTTTTTTTTTTTGGAATGGATGATCGCATTATTATCTTTACAAAACTAATGTTCCCATTTTATCGTCTATTTAGGTCGAATAATTTCTTTCGTAATGGCTGGAAATAGTGCTGCTGTTACTGGTAAAATACCCAAATATGCTGCCGGAACTCAACCGTTCACAGTTTTAATTGAGGGAAACATTGGCAGCGGCAAAACTACTTTCCTAAATCATTTTCAACAATTTCAAGAGAAGATTTGTCTCATCACAGAGCCTGTGGAGAAATGGCGCAATGTTAGAGGTGTTAATTTATTGGTGAGTATGATGCAAATAATCCCCTTAAATATTGTATATATAATTGTGTTGCAATATTTTCCTATTTTTAGAAACTTATGTACAAAGAACCCGAACGTTGGGCCATGCCTTTCCAATCGTATGTCACGCTAACCATGCTACAAAGCCATACACAGCAAACACAGAAGCCAGTAAAGCTTATGGAACGTTCCATTTTCAGTTCAAGGTAAGAATGTGGGGGGTTAAAAATGTGATTTGATACCCGCAGGAGATATTTTGATGTGTTACAATTTATTTATTTTTATTTCTTTTTGGCTACAACGCTGTAAACAATGTGTTAATAATAGCTGTGTATAACAATGAGTTGTACTAGTGCGCCAGAACACATTGTTCATCAACTAATATATTTATTTTATATTTATTTTAATAATTTGCTTTGTCAGAAGGAAAAGTGAGTTTGTGGGATGAATGCTTGAAGCAAACTCAGTATTTACATATTTTTTCCCCTTCTTTTCCATAAATCTCATTTATCTTTTCGGTAAACTTTACGCGTTTGTTTGCGAACATCTTAATAATTTCGCACAATATTCGTCTTGAAAAAAAGCTAAAGTAAATCGTTAAAAAAGACAAGTAAAAAAGCTGTAAGTTCGGCCTGGCCGAGCTTTGAATACCCTCCACCATATGGAACGAATTTCCCAATTTTCAAAAAAATAATAATAATAATAAATAAAATCCCTAATTTTGTTAAAATCTTAAAAATACCGAATGTGAGCGTTATATTAGCGTCTATACGCCGGCGTGGACCTGCATAGGCAACTTTGGTCATAAGCCATTACAATATTCAAATGCGAAACCTGAAAAAAATTATGTTCATAATGTAGCTAAAATCATCAAAATACCGAATATAGGGAGGTACCATGGTAGTTATACCAAAACATGGACCTACACATATGCTGTAGTATCCATTACGAACTTCAAATGCCAAATTTGAAACAATTCCGGTAAATAATGTGGCTATAATAATCAAAATATCGAATATCGGGAGGTGTCGTTATATGGGGGCTATACGAAGACGTGGACCTACACAGACAATTTTCTGTCATAGGCTATAGTATTCATTACGAACTTCAAATACCAAATTTTAAACAATTCCGATGAGTAGTGTCGCTAAAATCATCAAAATACCGAATATCGGGAGGTACCTTTATATGGGGGGGCTATACGAAGACGTGGACCTGCACAGACAATTTTCTGTCATAGGCTGTAGTATTTCATACGGACTTCAAATACCAAATTTGAAACAATTCCGGTAAATAAAGTCGTTAAGTCGTCGGGGTCTAAAATGTATGTTTCGAGGTGGAGGGTATAAAAATAGAAAATAATCCCTTTTTACAATTTTGATTTGAATTCTAATAAGCTGAAGTGTGAAAAAGTGGATAAATGAGCTACCCTAGATACTCTACACAAGGAGAAGCGGACATTTGTTAAATAGAACTATTGTACAAAATTATAGTGTTTAATTTGTCTCACACAACTCTTTTCATTTTTTTCTTACAGGTATTGCTTTGTGGAAAATATGTATAGAAATAAAATTATTGACGATGGCATGTATCATGTTCTTCAAGAATGGTATAATTTTATTGACAATTCAATACATGTTCAAGCGGATCTCATTGGTATGTTTGTTGTTTTTAGCATGGATGCCCAACAATCGAAATTAATTTATATCTTTTTTACATTTTAGTATATTTACGTACAACACCAAAGGTGGTATATGAACGCATGCGTAAAAGAGCACGTTCGGAAGAAAGTTGTGTACCCATAAAGTATCTAGAAGAATTACATAAATTACACGAAGAATGGTTAATTGAAAATCCAGAGTTTAATAATAAAGTAAGTTACACAATTGACATGTAATGTTAGACATGATTCATAATTTGAATTCTAAATCTTTTATCAGGTCGTTGTACTAGATGCCGATTTAGATTTGGAACACATAGGCTCTGAATATAAACGTTATGAAAATCACATCATCAACCCCACATTTATACGTCAACAACAAGCCGTTCTAGTATCACCCAGTAAACGTCGCCGTATGGAATGATGGAACACATAAGCTCCGATTGTAGACGTTACGAACATCACATCTTCAAAACCATCACCCAGTAAATGTCGCCACATGGGCTGACTTCGTTTATTTTCGGAAAAGCTTGCAATCTACGTTTGGAATATATTGTAGTTTAGTGACTCTTTATACCCTACAACACTATGTGTTGGGGGTATTATAAGTTTGATTGGGCCAAAAATTATGTAACACCACGAAGTATTGATTTCCCATATAGGAAAGTATATATGGATCTTCCTATCTCGCCGAGCTGAGTCGATCTAGCTATGTATGTCCGTCCGTCCGTCTGTCCGTCTGTCCATGTTAATTTGTAATCACTCTACAGGTCGCAATTATCGTCCGATCTTCACGAAATTTTGCACGAAGGTGGGGTTAGGGTCAGAATAGAACCCTATTTCTTTTGGACATGATCGCCAAATGTTTAGGGGTTGAAATGGACCAAATACTGAAAAAATGTCGGATTTTGCACTTGCCCTACAGGTCGCAATTATAGACCAATCGACGCGGAATTTCGCATGTAGCTAGAGTTTAGGGCTGGCAAGAAGCCTACCCATTTGGTCATCGGATAATATTTAGCGGGTAAAATAGACCATATCTTTTTTGTTGAAAAAATTTAAAAATTTTCATTAAACCGCGAATATTTTAAATTCCAGCGAAATCACAAAGCCATGACAAGGTTACTTCTGATCTTTACATTGATGTTAACATCTAACAAAACGGATATATAGCAAAATATGTACGATATATATGTTTATCAAAGAAGATATGCTTGAAAAATCTCGTATATGTCGAGAACGGCTGAACTGATTTCGACAGTTCTCATTAATTCAGAATGGCCTCTTGGCAGGAAACATAAAACGTCTAAAAAAATTGCATAAAAATATCTCTCTAAAGATGAAAATATTGATTTTGTAATATTTTCTCATATTTTTTCAATTTTGTCATATTTTTGGCATATTTTCATTTTGAATTAAACATTTGGTAATATTTCTACAGCTAACAAAACTAAGTAGTTAGGATATCAGGATATCATATACAGATCGCATTTATGGCCCGATCCTTACGAAATTTTGCATGGAGATAAGATGAGGGTCAGAATAAAAGCCTATTCTTTTTGGAGATATTCGGGGTTGAAATGGACCAAAAAACTGCAAAATTGTCAGCAGGTCGTAATTATGAGGTTACCGGACATTGCAAAAGCCAAGCAGTTTTGGATGGCCATCCAAAAATATTCAATGTGTGAAGGAGTTTGCCAACTTTTATAGACAAAATACGAAAATGTAATGTCCATTCCAGTGACTTTTTGGAGAATTCACAAATACAGGAAAGACGCACTTCTGACTATTTCGTTAACGCTGATTTCGTTGAAGAATATAGTCAAATGTCTGTATCTCATATAGATGCGTTTCAGTCAAAAACCAGTAATAAATATTAATCTTTTGCCACTTCTGAGAGATTATAGGTCTTTGGGAAATATTGGTTCCAGATCTAGGAAGACCATTTACGTGCAACATCTACCAATAAATTGGAAATGAGCAAATTAGTTTAAGTTGCTATTATCCGAAAATTAGAGAACGAAACCTGATGATTTTCTTTTATTATTTGTCACAATATCCTGTGGAGTTCTTTCGAGTATCTCGCCAATATAAACTGTATCGTTTATTATAGTGTTGTAGGGTATTCAACGGTCGGCCCCGCTCGACTGTAGCCTTTGCTTACTTGTGTTTAATTAATTTGTAAGTTTTAATTTTAATCCTTATCTAGTATAGTATTGCAATATCAATATATGTTTAATTTTTAAGTATTTCTTCTGGAAAATGATGATCTTGATTTTGACGACCATTAGCAAATTTAGTTCAATTTTGTTTATTTGTGCAATACATGTATGAATGTTGTGCTTGTGTTATTAGTATCTTTTTTTCTTTAGAAAACGTTTAAGCAATTTTATATGTAAAGCATGACTTTTTACTTTAATAGCAGACACAAAGAAAATAGTTGGTAAAATTTAAATTATTTCTTTTCTCATGGATTTCTTTTCCAAGTAAATATTAAATGTCTGTCTTTGAAGTCAAGCAATTGCATCAACTTGTTTATATTGTACTTATCATATGAAAAACAACATCATCAAAATTGTAACTGCCATTTAAATAAACTAATACTTAAATATATTGTAACGAGGCACCTCATAGATCTATTATATATTAAGATAACTAGTAAATGTTGCATTTCTTTAATTATTTTACACTTATATTTTGACTTATTATTTTGTATTGTATGAAGCATGTTTTTGAGGAGAAACCAGATCCAATCCCACAGGTGGAACATTTTATTGATACAGGAGACCATAGACCAATTTCATGTCCTCCATATCATATTTCTCCAAAAATGAAGGAAAAATTAAAGGCAGAAATAACAGATATGTTGAAGAAAAATATTATTCAGGAAGAAGAATCTCCCGTAGTCCATTCCCAAAAAGTCAGGAGAAGTTCGAGTTTGTGTAGATTATCGCCGATTAAATGCGATCACTACGACAGACAAATACCCTCTCCCAAGAATGGATGATTTGTTGCATGCTGCGAAAACATCATCATTTATGTCAACAATCGACTTGAAGTCTGGATATTGGCAAATTAAAATGGCTGACAAAGATAAATTAAAGACAGCATTTACAACACCCTTTGGTATATATGTTTTCAACAGAATGCCATTTGGATTAAAAAACGCACCCGCAACATTTCAAAGACTTGTGGATAAATTTCGAAATGGTCTTCCTCAAATAATTACTTTAGCATATTTGGATGACATTATAATATGCTCACCAGATTTTAATTCACATATTAAAGACTTGCGAAAAATATTCGAAAGAGTTAAAAAATTTAATTTGCAGCTAAATAGAGCAAAATGCAATTTTTGTAAACCTAAAGTTAAATACTTAGGTCATATTTTAAAGGAAAACGGGTTGAAACCAGATCCTGAAAAAAAAAAACAGCTATTTTACAAAGAGAACACCCCAAGAATTTAAAGCAGCTTATTTCATTTTTACAAACGTGTTCATGGTATCGTCGTTTTATACCGAATTTCGCCGATATATCAAAGCCATTATCCAGTTTAACAAAGAAAACCGCGCAATGGAAATGGACCGAAATTGAAAATGGTGCTTTTTTGAAATTGAAAACGCTACTTGCAAGACCTCCGATCCTACAACAGATAAATGAATCTGAGCCATTTATTTTGAAAACAGACGCTAGTAATTATGCGCTCGGAGCTGTTATACTCCAGGGGGAGAAAGATAAGGAACACCCTATTGAATATGCCAGTCGACTTTTGTTACCAGCAGAACGGAACTATTCAACGACAGAAAGGGAGGCATTGGCTTAAAAAAAAGTTTCGTGGATATATTGAGGGATCGGAAATATTTGTTCTGACAGACCACCAACCACTAAAGTGGCTTTTTAGCTTAAAATCGCCTACAGGTCGTTTAGCCAGATGGGCACTAGAGCTGCAGTGTTTCAATATAAAGTTTGGATATACTCCAGGAAGACAAAACGTCGTTGCAGATGCTCTTTCCAGACCTCCCTGTTCCAAAGAAGCTCATATACAGGAGTGCTGTGAATGTTTTACAATTTATATAGATTTTCCCCAACAAGGTGCTGCAGAAATAAGAAAATATCAGCTTGAGGATGAAGAAGTAAAAAAGAATTATACACTGCTTCGAAAATGACAACGAAGATATATCTAGATACACTAGCAGAGGATACATCATGATAGATGGAGTTTTATATCGATATTGTTCCGACCAAGATACGGAAAAAGGACAGCTAGTAGTACCAAAGTCAATGCGCAGCAAAATACTATGGCGTTTCCATGATGATCCCTTAGCGGGACATTACGGCATTGAAAGAACAATCAACCGAATTGCTCCATATTATTATTGGAAAGGCATGAGGGCAGAAATAGCTAAGTATGTAAAAAGTTGTGATCAATGTCAACGTTACAAGTCGACTAATTCAAGACCACAAGGACTATATCGCACTGTGTCGAGTAATCAACGTTTTGAAGTTGTGGCTATAGACCTGGTTGGACCACTCCCTAGAACTTCACAAGGACCTCAATGGATCTTGATAATCGAAGACATTTGTAGTCGTTGGGTAGAGCTATTTGCACTGAGAGAAGCTAGGGCCGAAAAATGTGCTTTGGTAATTTTAAATGAACTGATTTTGCGATATGGCGTTCCAAGACGTATTCATACAGATAACGGAAGTCTATTTATATCTGCAGTAATGCAACAACTTACATATTGTTTGGGTATCGATCAGACATTTACCCCGGTATATCATCCTGAAGCCAATCCGGTGGAGAGAAAAAACAGAGATTTAAAAACTCAACTCTCTATATATGTTGTGAAAGATCATACCACATGGGATTCAAAACTACCCATGCTAAGATTTGCTATGAATACTGTGAAGTGTGAGAGTACAGGATATACAGCTGCATACATTACATTCGGACGAGAACTTAGAAGTCCAATGGAAGCTCACCACGATTTGAATTCGATAATTGTTTCGGAAAACTTTATTCCACAAATAACGCCACATCTAAAAAAATTGGCCGATGTTTTGAAAAACGTAAAAGAAACCGAAGAGAAAATACAAGATCGAAATAGAATGTACACCGACAGAAAACGTAAACCCAATTTAAAATATAATATTGGAGATAAAGTTTTGGTAGCAACACATGTTCTGAGCAGTAAAAAAGACCATTTAACTTCAAAATTTGTAGCTCGTCGTGACGGTCCTTATATAATTATAGAAAAGAAAGGAACCTGTTTCACAATTGCATTAGAGGAGAATCCTAATATTCCTTTGGGAACCTATCATGCGTCAGATATCACTCCATATCAAGGATCCCCAGCTACACCTATATATCCTTTGAGAAAGCGTGGACGACCTAAAACCGGAAACAACGATGCATGTGCAAACATAAAGGAAACAGAAGTCTTAAATAATACAAATGATACAAACACAACACCAAGATTGGAGCAACACACACAAATTTTCCAAGCAACTAACACACATATACCGCCTGAAAACAACAATATAACCATGAAAGAAGAAAGGAAAATGGTTCTTCGGCCAAGGCAATCTAAGAAATAGATCCTGCCACATCATCGGGACGATTTCAGAGGCAGAGGGGGAGGCTGTAACGAGGCACCTCATAGATCTATTATAAATTAAGATAACTAGTGAATGTTGTATTTCTTTAATTATTTTACACTTATATTTTGACTTATTATTTTGTATTGTATTCCAATTGTTTGCATGTTTGACATAAAGTTATGTGCATTACTGTAACTGAAGATTTTTATCCAACTTTGCTCAAATGTAACTCTAACGGAATAATTGGAATATTTATTTTCACTCACTACAAGAATTATTCTCAGTTAGTCTTTTACACCCAATTTGAACTCATAAATTTCTAATATAAGCAGTAACTCATCTTGTCATTTATTCATTCTACGTCTGTCTATGGAGGAATAAAGCTAATTTAAAAATATTCAAAGTTGTTTCCTTTGGATGCCCAGAGTGGCAAATAATAAATTAAAACAATATAAAATATATTGAACCCTGTGCGCAGGCGAATTTGTGCTTTGACACTATTCTTGCCTCGTGCAAATATAAAAATAATATTATATTTAGTGGACAGCTTGGACTTAAGTCTGGCTTTGACCCTAAATATTAATAAAATAATATATAAAGGAGTCTCATCCCCTTCAATATATTTTTACAATAGTGAATATTTTTTGTTTTGTTTTTATTTAAAATGTGAATAAATCTTTTGTGTCTCGTACCATCGCTCGTTACCGTGATACTTGTAGCTTAGCCTGACGTCAAGGAAGTGGACGGAATAAAACAGCAACATCAGAAGAAATGGTTCGAAAAGTAAAGAAGCGACTTGATCGAAACCCGTGTCGCAGTGGCCGAAAAATGGCTCGTGGTTTGAACATATCGCAATATTCCATTCGGCATACGCAAACATTTTGGTCGCAGACCTTGGACATTCCAACAGAACTCAGCAAGAATGGTTACAAAATGAGATTCCTCGCTTCATTTCCAGCGCACAATGACTACCAAAATCTCAGTTGGACTATTGTGTCTGGATTATTTTGGAAAGGTTGACACTATAAAATACCTCAAGCAAGCGCTTCGCCGGAAATGGGCCAAACTAAATCTAAACTTGCTCTAAAACTTGATACTATTTCCCACATTTTTTGCTATCATTCAATAAAATTAAAAAATGTAAAAATGATTGCGTTTGATTTTGTTGCAGTTTTTTTTTATCTCATCCTGTATGTTATGTTCGGTATTATGCAGTTGGGAAAAGTAAATAACCTGTTCGATTATGGGATAGAATAAACCAAAGTGCCATCGATCACCTGAGGGAAGAAGCTCAACCGAGTAATCGTTACACTCTCCACTTGATGCTGGTTTGAATTTGAAAAATTTATGCAGGTTCCTGAATTCTAAAGTTGTACCCTTATGACTTTATCAATCAGTATTCTGCCATATTTGAGTACCATGAGCAAAAATAGTATCGTTACATGGATTCACGGACCACAATTTGCAAGCACTAATCATCCATCTATGTTGTTGGTCTAGGAATTGCGCAAGGCACCAGTCCCGTTTATGCTGTTTTAACAATTAGTCCATTACAATGACTAGTCTAACCAGACTATTATATGGGGCTATACCAAAACGTGAGCCTACGTAGCCCATTTTCAATACAAAAAGTCCTGCAGACAAAATATGCATTTGAGTAAAATTTTATCAATTTACTTCATTTCGTTCGGAAGCTGATTTCCACATACGGATAGACATCGCTAAATTGACAAAGAATTTTATGCTGATCGGTAGGCAATGTTTGACTCCTAGTGAGAGTAGCCATGTAACATCTTCAGGGTGGGGTCTATAATGTATGTTTCGAGGTGTTACAAACGGAATGACAAACTTAATTTTAATTTTGAAAAGTAATTTGAAAAGTCTTTAGTTTCACGTTCAGTAATTAAATTCAACATCTAAATAAGACCAGGTGGAATTACCTCAACTTTTAATTTTTCCGAATTTTTGCCTTCGTATCTATCAAGAGGAAATGGATAATGGATATTTTACTTATTCCAAATAATATATTTGAATTGTTTCGGTTAATACAAATTATGAGAAAAGAATTATGTACTAAAACACATACATTACAAATTTGATGTTCTCAATCTCTCTAAACTAGGCAATGTATTTTGCATCCAGATCGTGTCCCTTCTTTGTCGTCATTATATTACTTTGGCGGTGGCACACTCATCATCATGGGCGGACGTACACCAGGCATGGCTCCGAGTGGTGGTGGAGGTCCCATCATTGGACCCATCATGGGTGGCGGACGCATACCCAACATTGCCGGAGGAATAGCACCATGTGGACCCATCATCATTGGTGGAGGCATTCCAGGTGGCATCATACCTGGTCTTGGTGGACCACCTAGATTTGGTGGTGGTGGTAAGGCCACACCAGCCGCACCGGGCTTTGGTGGACCGCCTGCGAAGGGATTCTGTGTTATTTTGCCAGCTTTGAAGGCAGCAGTTGTGGCGTCGATTAAGTGTTGTGCCTCCTCTTCCATCCATTTTTGATAGTAGAATTTAACATTGTCACGATGTTTGCGGCCCGTACAATGTGTTTTACGCACCGACGGCGAGTCGTGTGTCAAATATGTGTCACAATAATCACAATAGTATTTCGGCATATTTGCCAATATTTTTGTTACGGGTTTTCAATGCTTTTTTTGTTTAAACTTCTAGAAATTGCCTTTACACTACGAAATAAACGAAACAAATGCGAATAAAAAATAAAGACCTACGCTAGGGTTGGCAAAATGTTGATATCACATTCGATATTAATTTTAGGGCTTTATTATCGATTTTTATTTAATCTATCGATATTATCGACAAAGTTCCGCCATTTGCAAAATTAGAGAAAAATATACCATGTTCGCATTACAATTTTAAAACAGGTGTTCGGTTAGCATTTCGTTTTTATATATATACATGGTACAATGATATCAAGGTAGGGCAGAAGTACCATATGATTTTAATTTTTTTTATTTTCTTGGCTTAATATGTCATCTTTATTTGTTTATGTATGTGTTTTCTTTTCAATAACAAAAAAATTGTTCAGAAAACATTAAAATTCGGTTGTTTTCAAAATGTTTATTTCAACGTATGCATCGACAAAATCTAGAGTTTTTGTAGCGAAATAATCCTTTAGAGATACATATATAGTACATGAATTTGAAAAGAAGTGTTGACCTTTCATACAATTATCGCGGTTTTCAATGATTTATTCAAAATAAATGCAACAAGTTGTTTGATTTTTTATTGTTTTGATACTAATTCTGACATTACAAGCCAAACAGGTAGACCTCTATACTTGCAATTTTTTCAAAGTTGACCTACCTTCTCTTCATTGTACCATGTATATATATATATTTATAGTTTAGTTTTGTTATCGCTTACTTTAGGAAAAGTAAATAGCAAAGTTGTTGATTATTTCATATTTTCTTTAACATAAATGCATTTTTCAGAGGTATGGCAATGAAATGAGTATTCGTAATGCCCTGTTCCAGAACCTACAAGAATCTATGTTTTTAATTTTTTGTTGATAAAATAAAGGAAAAAATCGTTTTAAAAAGCTGTACATTCATGCAGTTCTGGGACCATGGTAGAAGAATACAGGTAGTCGCATCGACCCAGCTGCTGGGACAATGAACTGTCAACCCGATTTTGAAATTTAAAATCGTTAATGAAAAATAATTGAAATTTGTAAAAATTGTTGAAAAATACATATCACTAAGACCTCCGATTTGCGTCGTATAATGCCATGTTTACGTTAGAACTTTTTGTAGGGTTAACCTACTTTGAGAGGATTTATTTGAAGTAAAAGTAATGGAAATGACAATTTAAATCAAAATCCAGTGGGTTAACCCTCATATATATAAACGTACTGTAAGAAAACATATAAAAAACAACTTATTTCTGACACAAGCGTTGATGCATCTACCTATAATTTTCTACCATGGCATTTATTCAGAGTGGAAGTGAACAATAGTGTGATCCAGAGCTGCAAGAATGTAAAAGTTTTTACTACGATAACCAATTTCCCCCTTAAGATATCGATAAAAAATTGCAAAAATGTCAATCTTGCAGGTACTGGAAAAAAGCAATAGTTTGTATACATACAGGGTGAGATGAAAAAACTGCAACCAATTTCAGACTGTGTCATTTCTAAGCCACTCGTCCGACAGATGTTAAAATTATTCCAGTGACAGCTTATTATATTGTTTACAAGCGTACAAAAGCAATTTGGTGAAAATTTTCCAGAAAAAAAGTTATTCGTGATGAAATTCAAGCGTAATAGTGTGATTACTTTATATTTGTCTGGAAAACCACAAGTGGCTATCGTTAGAGCACTCCAGCATTTATATGTGAATAAATCTTTTGTGCCTCGTACTATCGCTCGTTACCTTGATACAGGTAGCGTAGCCCGACGTCAAAAAAGTGGACGGAAGAAAACAGCAACATGAGAAAAAATTGTTCGAAAAGTAAAGAAGCGAATTGGTCGAAATCCGCGTCGCAGTGGCCGAAAATGGCTCGTGAGCTGAACATATCGCAATATTCCATTCGGCAAATAATGAAAAATGAGCTCGGGGTAAAGCCATTGAAATTCCAAAAAGTGCAAGAACTTACACCGCAACAGAAAGAATATAGACCCAAAAGAGCGAAAGAGTTGCTTCGCTTTACCGATGTTAGCTATCCGCTTGTATTAATCGACTGTGGCATCAGAATAAATGCAGAATATTATCGCGAAAATATTCTGGGGGGTGTATTTAAGCCTTGGACATGCAAACATTTGGCCGCAGACCTTGGACATGCCAACAGGACTCAGCTACATCTCACTCAGCACGTGCCACCAAAGAATGGTTACAAAATGAGGTTCCTCGCTTCATTTTCAGCGCATAACGGCCACTTAAACCTCCGGAGACCAATCCGTTGGACTATTGTGTTTGGGGTATTTTGGAAAGCAAGGTTGGCACTAAAAAATACCAAAGTGTCGATCACCTCAAGCAAACTCTTCGTCGGGAATGGGCCAAAATACCGCAGAGCAACATTCGGGCAGCGTGTGACGGTTTCATTGGCCGTTTGAAGGCCACAATACGTGCCAAAGGTGACAAAATCGAACAAATCTAAACTTATTTTTAAATTTGATGCTATTTCCAACATTTTTTGCTTTCGTACAATCAAATTTCAAAAAATGTAAAACTTATTGCGTTTGACTTTGTTGCAGTTTTTTTTTATCTCACATCAGTTCAGTTTTCAATTATTTATTCAAAATCATTGAAACAAAGCGTTGTGATAGTATTTCTAACATTAGGTGTGCCTGGTTTTCTATTGCTTGTTTATTTCTTTTTGTACTTTCAACTTGAAAATATTTATTTGGAATTAGCAAGACTAAAGGTGTAATTACATAAGAAACTTGAAGTCATGGCTAGGCATATTTTGTGACATTTCATAAAGGGATTACAGAGCCGAGCTAATATCATGCCGTCGTTTTCCATTATAATTTGACAATAATATGCCTAGCCATGACTTCAAGCTTTTTATGTATTTTCACCCTAATTGCTTTTGGAGAACAACTTTACAAAACGTGAAAAATGTAAATATTAATATGTAATAAGAAAATAAAAGACGATTTCCAACATTTTTAGACAAACTCCAGTGGCAACTCGTTTAAAGGATTCCGGGGAACACATCAAACCTATCTTTCTTTTATTGCTCATATTTTTATTTTATTTCTAATATCCTTTTTATTTAAAAAAATGTTAAATTGATGGTGCTTCCTTTCTTTTAATTCATTTAATGGGGGCAAATTGGTTTGTTTTGACAAATCAGCTGGTTAGTTGCAAGCTTCTGCAGGAATACCGTCTGTTTACTTTCCGCATTTTCCTTGCAAAAGAGTACAAAACTACCTTACTTTCTCTTAGAAAGATGTTGCTGCACAATTCCTGCAGGAAAAGTAACCAGATACACCTATTAGTTTTTTTCAAAGTTAGCCTAGCATGCATGGGAAGACCAGCAAAATTTAAATTTAAGAATTTATGGACATCAAATAAAAAAATTGCATTTGATATGCAATCCATGGTAAAATTAAAAATTCTGTAATTTACCTTGTCAAATTTCAATGCAAAAAAAAAAAAACAGTTTCCATCTCTCATTTTCTGTGCATATAATGGATTTATGAATATAGATTTTGACAATGAGATGTTGTCAAATTTATAAATTTGAAAAAATTGTAAACATAAGTGAAAAAAAAAAATTGTAGACACATGATGCAATCATTCGATTTACATTTTTTATTTGGTACTTGTGCCTTAGACAATATTTTGCAGTTTTTCAAATTGATGTATTTGCTCGGCGCTTAAATCTTATTTGAATTTTCTTTTGATTCCAATTTACTCGCAATTTGTTGGACAACAAATGGTGTTTCATACAGTTGTCGATAATACCGTGTCCTTTGCAATGGCAACACTGTACACTGACTACTCGGTTAGTGCACGTAGTAACGCAAAGGTAATGAGAGCCAATTAACACGTAAACAGAGATGAGGCCAAAGAGAGAGAGGGAGAGTATGAGCGTCTGTCGCTCGCACTGTGATGATGAGAGTGTAGAAGAGAGCAAGAAGACCCACAGAAGCAAATGGAAACAAGTAAAACCAAAATAGACGCGAAACTGTCTGCATGTCGATGATAGCAGCGGCGGAAATTTTTTGTGTTGGACGCGCGTAGCGGATGGATTTTAAATCCATGAATAAGAAGTGTTGTCGGAAAGGCGGCGAGAAAGGAAAGAAAAATTGAAAAAAAAATAAATAAATTACAACGGTTTAACGTGTGTGTTTCTTTATAATTTTATTGAGCGCTGAGCTGCATAAAAAAGTAATAATAATTAAAAATAATGTTTGTTTGCCTGATTTTGAAAAAAAGAAATAAATACATATTGAATGAATAATGAAATTTAGTAAAAATTTAAAATATTTTTGATCTTGAGTGTACCAGAAAATGACAACAAAGAATTGTAAACACGGTGTTATAAGTGAGATTGCAAGTTATTTTTGTTTTGTTTAAAAAAAAAAATAAAGTTTAACACAAATAACAAACGGTTTCAAAAAAAGATCTTTTAAAGATCTGTGTAAAGTAATTTATTCTTTTTGTTGTCTAAAATTATTTTATGTTGTTGTACCTCTTACCTTAAAGAAGAAAGGTCTAAATCACGCCGCCTGGTATAGGGAATAATCAACCACAGCATAAAACTGAACAGCAAACATTACCAGTGAAGGAAGGTGTGCTGAAGAATCTCTTCACATAAAGACCAAAAACAACAACAACAACAACAACAACCGCGGCAGCAGTATTGAAGTAACACACCAAAAAGCAAGCAAACGAAGACAAAAAGAATCCACCGATGAGATGAGACAAACAGGAGGATTTATGCGTTCGATAGTTCAAATGGATAAAGTGGTTTTACCGGTTTTATGATACGTTCGACGTTCAACAGACGGATGGATACAGTGCTGCTGAGGATGATGTGATGTGATGCCATTAGGCCCAACAAAAAAAAAAAAAGAAAAATATTAAAAATTGTGTTAAGTTTGAAATTTTTGAATTATTTGAGAAAAAGAGCAAAGTTCTGAAAAAGTTATCAGTTATTTTGAAGTGTTTTAAAAATTTTCTAAATATTTTGAAATTTTAAGAAATTTTTCCAATTTTAAAGAAAAATTAATTATAATGTGCTAAGAAATTCGTTTGTGAAGCTGGATTTTTCTCATCATTTGTTTTTGTTATTGTTTTCGTGCAACAACAAAATGCCGTTTGTACAGCGTGTTGTACAGCCGGTTAATCTTGCCCAAGTTTGTTCCACATCCGGTTCCGGTAACCAAAAAACCAATAAATTCCTTTGCATACCCGGCAAATGCCAAAACAACAATTGTATCAACAACAAATTATCTCCCCAACACCAACAACAACAGCTGCAGCAGCAGCAGCAGCAAAGAGGCGAAATCTCTCTCAATGGCAGAGAGCCAGCACAGAGTAAAATAGCAGCAGAAAGCGAGTTTTTGTCCTCGTCATCATCGTCGTCGCCGCCACCGCCTTCATTGTCTTTAAACCCCAGCGATGTGTTACTCTCAAGGACAACATCGTTGCTCAACAGCAATGCCAAGGACGGCCTGATTTCACCCTCCCTAACATCGTCGACAACAGCCTCCTCAACGACCACTGTTACCACGGCCATAATACACAACAATGGTGGCGTTTCAACCATCAATGATTTGGCCGGCAAGGATACCACAGATCATGTTGGCTACACCAACAGTTTTTCCTACAACACAGATCACGAAGATGACGTCTGTTCGAGTGTATTGCCACCCGTGTCACCGGCCCCAACAATGCCAATGAAAAAGTTGAAACAACATGTTGAGTTTCTTTCGAACATACCCACCTCTCCGACCCGGCAACAGTCGGCGAGAAGCGGTGCGTCCATGGTTGGTGGTACATCGATGGCTGGTTCTTCGGGTGCGATAATACGTGCCTCAACATCTCAGCAACAGCAGTTGCAACAACAACAACGTTTACGTACGCCCCAATCACCAACGGCGACAAAAATTGTTGCCGGCTATGAATTTGATTCGATCAGCAACATAACCCTAAGTAATGCCCTGCGGCAATTGGCCTCATTGGTCCTGATTGCCAGCGATATTTTCGATGATTTGCAAAAGGAACTGCAGTCGGTGGGCGATAGAGCACGTGTGGTGCAAAAGAAAATCATAGCGGTGGAGAGGCGTGTCAGTGCATACGATCCGAAAATGGTCACAGTCCGTAAGTATTTTTTTTTGGTTCTTTTTTTTTGGATTCGGAAAGAGGGCGATATTTCCGGACAGGAAAAAGGAAAAACCTCTAGTTATGACAATTTTTAAGACTTATATGGGGCTAGAAAAATACTTTCGAATGTCAGCATTGACATAAAATACACTTAGAGTTCACCTATTATGGAGTAATTAAAGCTTTGGAACTTCCGAACCTTGTTAGCAAGTAAATGAGCTATTATCTTTTTGGCAATAGTTCACACACGTTTCGGGTTTTGTTTCACTGTCAAACATTTTCAATAGCAACCACAAAGACAATGCGCAGTGTTGTCTTCTTCCAAGAGAACATTTCCTAAAGAGAGACATCAAGAGAAACTAGTACAACTGGAGAGTAATCTTATTATTACAAGCAAAGAGAAAGTGCAAAAAGGAGAGCCTAATGATGGAGAGCCTTAGAATGCAACGAAATATTGACAAGACGATGATCTTAAGGAGGATATCAAAAATAAAAATTCATGCTATGGAGTTGGAATAAAGTGAAACAACCTGTTATAACAACTTCTTTAAGCTTATTATTTATATGGTTATCACTGGCCACACACCAGACTTTAATGGCATAACAATATTAGACAAAGAGAAAGTGGAAAAGAAGAGACTAATGATTGAGAGTCCTAGAATACGACAATATATCGAGAAGAGGGATATAGACAATAAAAATTCGAGAGGATTAAAACAATTATAATTTTGCCGATCAGATCCAATTATTTAATTTTCTCGGAAGACTACGGAACCTCAGGAATAGAGTGAAAATTAAATAATTTTGTTTAGATTTTCACATTAATCGAAGAAATTTTGACCAAGAAAATAGAAGAATATAAGAAACTCTTCAATCACATCATTCCATTAAATATTTTTGAAACCTTCTCATCACTGATTGCCAACAATTTATTAATTAATTCTAGATATCTGGGATATACACCCACAGATCGCAAAAGTTTCTCGGAAGGCTAACCGAATTGGCCGGAAAACTAACACACGTAAATTCTAGATAGGAAACTTAATTGGAGAGACCAAAACCAAGAATGGACTAACAAGGTTCATAGATGCTGGGCAACGTGTAAAAGGTCTAAAGGTTTAAAATTGGGTTTCAATCCATAGATGATACACTGGCTATTCAAAAGCGTAATTAGACCTATTCTAACCATACACATCAGAAGTCTGTTGGACAGCTATTGATAAGAAAAATGTAATACTAAAATATTACAAACGAATGTGATGCTTAAGCTTTCGCGGTTCAATGAGGACAATACCAACCAGGGCTTTAGAGACAATTTTATATGTACAGGGTGAGATAAAAAAAAACTGCAACAAAGTCAAACGCCATAATTTTTAATTTTTTTTTAAGTTTTATTGAATGAAAGCAAAACAGGTCGGAAATAGCATTAAATTTTAGAATAAGTTTAGATTTGTTCGAATTGGCCACCTTTGGCACGAATTAAGGCCTTCAAACGGCCAATGAAACCTTCTATCGCTGACCAAATTTTGCTCTGCGTTATTTTGGCCCATTCCCGGCGAAGCGCTTGCTTGAGGTGATCGACACTTTGGTAATTTTTAGTGCCAACCTTGCTTTCCAAAATACTCCAGATACAATAGCCCAACAAAGATTTTGGTGGCCATTGTGCGCTGGAAATGAAGCGAGGAACCTCATTCTGTAATCATTCTTGGGTGGCGCGGACTGAGAGCGATGGCCCTGAGTCCTGTTGGAATGTCCAAGGTCTGCGGCCAAAATTTTTGCGTGCCCAAGGTTTTAATAATATTTTCGCGATAATATTCGGCATTTATTCTGATGCCATCGGCTGTTCTGGCCGGCGCTTGAGTTATGGTGGCCAACCGATGGTGCACATTTTCAGCTGACCTCTTTGGCAAGTAAACACGATCATTTTTGTTTACAAACTGCTGGACAACGCATGTTTTCTCATCGGAGAAATCCAAATTAGGCTGTTCACCACTTTTGGCCAAGCGAAGCAACTCTTTAGCTCTTTTGAGTCTATTTACTTTCCGATGCGGTGTAAGTTCTTGCACTTTTTGGAATTTCAATGGCTTTACCCCGAGCTCATTCTTACAAATTTTCTAAATGGAATATTGCGATATGTTCTTGATCTCACGAGCCATTTTTCGGCCACTGCGACGCAGGTTACGATCAAGTCGCTTCTTTACTTTTCGTACCATTTCTGCTGATGTTGCTGTTTTCTTCCGTTCACTTCCTTGACGTCGGGCTACACTACCAGTATCACGGTAACGAGCAATGGTACGAGACACAAAAAGATTTATTCACATTTAAATGCTGGAGTGCTCTAACGATAGCCACTTGTGGTTTCTGCAGCCAAATATAAAGAAATCACACTATCACGCTTGAATCCCATCACGAATAACTTTTTTTCGGGAAAATTCTCACCAAAATGCTTTTGTACGTTTTTAAACAATATAATGAGCTGTTACTGGAATAATTTCAACAGCTGTCGGATGAGTGGCCTAGAAATGACACCCAACGTAAAATGGGAGCAATGATTTCTAGCACATATTTAATTTAACATAAATGGCGCCCAACATGTGGCTGGAAATAATATTCTTAAATGGCAGGATAATTTGTTATTTCAAAATGTCTAGGGAGATGCTACACCAGTGGCGCCCAACGTTACATAAAATATTCCTATTTTTCCAATTTTATTATATTTTGCTTCTGGCTCAACCAAAATTCTTCGGGAAACCACTGTTTTTTGATGCGAAAACTTTAATTTAAACGGCTTTCGGATGAGTGGTTTAGAAATCACAGCAGTCTGAAGTTGGTTGCTGTTTTTTCATCTCACCCTTTATATGTACTGTGTTATGTCAAAAATTATTATTTCGATGAGCGAATGATGAACTTAATATAGCTTCCACAGTGTGTATGGTATAAAAAAAACGTCAAAATATACCAAGTCTCCAAAATTCCACATCGTTTTCCAATCACCTCCAATCGCATAACCAGTCGATTATCTTCTACATTATAATTACGAAATTCAAATGCATTCAAGAAAATGTAGCATTTGTCACGTTCTCCGCAGCGATTATGTTGCCGCATCGTTTCGTCAAAACATTAACCCATTATTCTTCAGCATTTTCAATTAGTACACCAGCCAGCCAATTGCTTTTCTTATCAGTTTGCAATTTATGTGGTGGAATAAGAAACAAAAAAAAAATATATTCCGTATTATGGTTTTGTTTTTAGCTAAAATTTCAATGAATCAATAAGTTTTGTATTTTATTTTTCGCCTTACAGTCTTATCTGCTCAATTAGCCAGACCTGTTCACACTTTAAGCGAAAATAAAAAAAAACGTAAAAACAATTTATAATGAACCTAGAAAAATGTAATGTGTGTGCGTAGTATGGCAAATAGATAAACCTTATCTTCATATAATTACGTCAAATATGTGTACAATGCTAAATATATAGAACTTGCCATTAAAATAAACACTCAATTACACAAATCGACAAGAAAAATGCCAAGGTTTTTGGGAAATTGTGAAACCAAGTATCCAAGGTGGCCTGAAAAAAATTTTAAGGTACTATTGTGTTATGTTTTCCAAATGAAGGTGCAAAAATTCCGATCAAAAGTAACTTCTTAAGCATGACGTCCAAACTTCACTTACGTACATCCTGCTGCGAACGCCATACATAGTTAAGCATGGGATAATAGTTATTAAAGCCTTTATTGTCACCCTTAATTTTTTTTTGATTTTTATAGATTTTATTTTCTTAGACTTTTGTTGCCTGGTGTAATTAACATTATCTGCTTGGAAAATAAGTAATTGTGTTAAAGGCATACTTTATTTATTTTCTTATTTTTGTTTGCTGACTTTATTCTCGTTAATTGCACAGACATGAACAATTAGAGTATTTATGATTGGTTGATAATAATCCACTGCGAAATGGTAGTCTGAGAAAAATAAGGAATTGCAACAAATTAACAGCATAACAGAAGGTTTAAGGGAACAGTGGATTTCGACTCCAACTTGAGTTTTAAGAATGGCCGAATTAATGGGAGGAAACTTTATTCCAAAGTTTCCCAAATGGCGCCCAATTACCTTTGGGTATTGATAGATATTAAAAGTATGGCAATTGAAAAACGTGTGTGTGGCGTCCAACATAGGGACTCCATAAGAACAAGTCAAGTCCGCAAAAGCAAAATTATCCTGGGCAATTGTACTTAGTCAAGGAGATTCAACCACTTCTGGGTATTGATAGACATTGCAGGAAAAGGTTTAAAGTATGGCAATAGATTTGTTGAAAATCGTGTGTGGCGCCCAACATAGGGACTCCATAATAATGGGAGTTAAATTAAACTTTTACAAGTCCGCAAAAGCAAAATTATCCTGGTCAATTGTCTTTAGTCAATGTACTTTTGCCATTTCTGGGTATTTAGGGACATTCCAGGAAAAGGTTAAAGTATGGCAATTGATTTGTTGAAATTGACAGCATAACAGAAGGTAACAGGAACAGTGAATTTCGACTCCAACTTGAGATTTTAGAATGGCCGAATTAATGGGAGGAAACTTTTGAATAAACCTAAATGGCACCCAAATACCTTTGGGTATTGATAGATATTAAAAGTATGGCAATTGAAAATCGCGTGTGTGGCGCCCAACATAGGACTCCGTAAGAATGGGAGAGGATTTCGACCTCAACTTGAGATTTAAGAATGGGCGAATTAATGGGAGGAAACTTTTGAATGGCGCCCAATTACTTATGGGATAGATATTAAAAATATGGCAATTGAAAATCGTGTGTGGCACCCAACATATGAACTTCATAAGAATGGGAGCTAAAGTATACCTTTACAAGTCCGCAAAAGCAACATTATCCTATGCAATTGTACTGTAATTGTATTGTAAATTTAAACACTTCTGGGTATTGATTGACATTGCAGGAAAAGTTTTATTGTATGGCAATAGATTTGTTAAAAACCGGGCGTG